AGAACAAGCGTGCCATAAAGCTGATCATCGATGAATGTTTCCTTCCTGTTCTTCTCACAAAGACTTAATGAATTCATAACCAGAGCTTTCCCTGACTGTGTGGAGTGGCGCAGCTGTGCGGCGTGTGTGTGCACGTAGCCCTGGCTCTACCATGGAGACTCTGACCTACCCATTAATTCAAATAAATCAAGAGAAGGAGCTGTCCTCGCCTCCTCCTGACTAAGCAAAAAGCTCACTAAAAGAAAAGCCACTGGCTTTTCCCTTTGTGTTTGGAGCAAGGAACCCTGCATCCTGGTAAGACATGGTCCTTGGTCTCAGTAAGCTCTGGAGGGAAGACAGACATGTAAACAAACTGTAGTGTTGGGCACTAGGTGAGATAACAGAATGATTTTAAATGCTCAGAAGTAGCAGAGGTGGGAGTGGATGCTTGGGGTTATTTAGCTGGAGAATCAGTGATTGTGTGCCCTAGTTGCTGACACCTAAGCTGTGCTCTAAAGGACAAATAAGAGTTAGCAGTGTTGTAGGGACAGGATGGGAGGGGTGGGAGGAGGAGAGGAATATTCTAGGTAGGGGTACCAGCAGGTACAAAGATGGAGACGTATGATTATATTCTGATGTGTCCAGGGAACCATGAACCCTTTGGTGCTGGTGGAGTGTAAAGAGTGAGGAGTGGGGTGAGGCTGGAAACATAGATGGAAGCTAGTCTTGTGTGGGATGTACTGTGGACCTTCAGAGTCCCTCTCAGTGTTAGGAGCGTGACATGCTCACACTTGTGTTAAGAATGTGTTTTGGTCGAAATTGTAACAAACGAGGCTGGAGGCTAGAGAAGCAGAGACTGAAAGGGTAGTTAGGAGGAAGACTTCCAAATTCAGGGAGTGGTTGGGTTTTTCTGGTCAGGAGTTGGGGGTGACATTGAGTATAGGAGAGAAAATAAACAGGTCCAAGGCTTGAGTTATTGGGCAGATTTTGACCTCCACCTGCAAGAGCAACGCTGAGAACAGATTCTAGGAAGATCATCGGTGGTCAGAGGATTCGTTGGAGAATCCTGAGAGAACACTCTTCTGGAAGCCGAGGGAGGGAGGAATTCCCAGGAGTCAGCCAGGGACAGGTTTTACCTTAACAGATCAGGTAGGTAACAACTATGCAGTGATTCCATACTACTTAGGAATTAGTAAGTCACAGATGACTGTTGTCAGTGCAGTTTTATCAGCGTTGATTCAGCTAACAGCAGATTACAGGCGACTGGGGAGTAAACGTGGGCAATAAGGAATAGAATTAAAAATAGCCTGCTCTTCACAAAAATCTAACAGAACAGAAAAAGAAGTCCAGAAAAGTGAAAGCTGAAGGGTCAAGGTAACATTCTAAGGATGTCAGCAGCTTGTGTCCTTTGATAACTGTGATTCTCACTCAGAACTGGAGCTGAACGTGGCATGGACAGTTGGGAAAGCTATTCAGTAGACCTCTTGTTTTCTTAGTGCCAATTATAGAATGTAAAACTCAACAAAATCATCTTGGCAAATGAGGATATAAAAGAGATGAAGTGAGAAGATAATCAAGGGGAAAGTGAGAAGCTCTGGTCTGAATTGTGAGGAGCAGGAACTCAGGAAGGACGCACATAAATGACTGAGAGGGCGGTGACCTAGAGGAGATGGATGAATGAAACGGCGCACACAGGTGGAGGGGGTAGCCTAGAGAGAGGAGGGCCCCTTGGTCACCTGAGACCAACACAAAGCTGAACACGAGTGTAGAGCGACATGATGCTGGCCTGGGCGGTGGTCCTGGTGCACAGCTTGGCAGCTCTCTGTGACCGCAGTCTTCATCCTGTACAAGTGGCATCTGCTGGCAGCGACGTCTCCCGGCAGCCAGGAGCGGGGCTGACGTTGTGGTTCTCAAGGGGAAAGTCGCGATCACTGTTCTGCTGTCCCATATGTGCTGGTCCCATTAATCCCAGCCTTTTGGGGAGCCCTCTGGACTTCAAGGTGGGGTGGACAGTTTCCATTTTTATGTGGCCTTTTTTGGGCAGACGGCCCCACAGCTTGATAGGGAGTGGCATTTGGCCCAAGCCAGCTGGCTTCTCTGTCACGGTTCCTGCACCCCTGTATGTGGAATGATTGCTCGGTCAGATGGGATAGCAGGTGGGGCTGGGCAGAGTCAGCTGTAGCTAACAGGTCAGCGCCTCCTGAAAGCTCTTGCCCTTTAGTCCTTTGAGCACCTGGCTTAGGTTTGGCTGGTGAGCAGGTGACCTTAGAGCATCAGACTGAGACTGTTCAAGGTCCCTCAGCCTGCTGCTGTGGCCGCCTCCTGTGCATCCTTATTTCAGTCTTGGGGCAGTCACAGTCAGTTCTTGTCCAGAGTTAACAGGGAAGCCAGGATTCCCCGGGCAGCCTACATTTGTTCAAAAGCATCCTTTTCCCTCGTCTAGCATTTAACGAGCTCCATACATTTCCTTCTCTTAAAACAGCAGCGGTTTACCTTCAATCTTTATTTTTGGTTTATTTTCACTTGTGCTGGGTGTCACCTTTTACTTAGTATCCTGTCTAAAGAGATACTGAGGCACGAATTTGCAAATCACTTGGCCCATTCTTCACATTTTTATTTAAAAGCACCAGTGGACACGGAGTGTGTGTCCTGTGCTATGACCTTGATATTACATTTCCTTATTTTGCATTACTTTCTTAGCTCTGGGGTATCTGGGTCATGCTGAGGGCACAATTCAGGAAGTTGTCCTATTGGCCATGCATAGCAGGGGTCCAGTTAGTGCCTGGAAACCAAGTGCCTGAATGAGAAGAGAATAATCATTTGAAGTTTCGGTCTCGTATCTAAAGAGTCTCGTATCAGATATTTGGAGGCTTCTAATTCACTGACATCCCCCTAACCCTTTTTATATTTCCAGGTGACTGGGTGTAGGACAGTGGTATGTGGGAGGAGTTGTGGACCAAGACAGGTTTGGGTTTGGGGTGGTGGGGAGTAGAAGGTCGGTCACCAGGGGTGGAACTCAAAAGTACAAATGACCTAGGAGGTGGCAGCACCTGACAGGGGGTTCCCATGTGGATCCCAGCAGGTGACTTGTAATGAACCAGTTCCCTAGTCACAAGAAACAAGACTAGAAAATGAGACTTCCCTTTGGCATTTTTTTTTCTCTTTGATTATAAGTCCCCTTTTAGAGCTGCCTCATGACAAGAGAGGCAATGAGGAAGGCTTCTGGATGTCTGGAATTTGATAAATGGTGTTCGGTAGGTGCATGATGAACTGAAGGTTTGGCCATGTGTCTGTCCTCCTACCCTGAATGCCTTTGAAGAAAGTACCTCATTTCCTTCTTTCTCTGTAATATCCCTTCTCCAGCCAATCCTAATGGGAATATCAACTGCCTGTTTCAGTAGAGGCAAAACTTTAATGAGAGAGGACAGGGAAGGTGAACAGGAATATCCCCGGAATGGTGGATCCCCATTGATTACCAGTTCCTAACCAAATTACACAATTAAGGCCAATGTATGTATGAGTGAGAAATCCCATTCTGCTATCACAGAGGTGCTAATGAATCAGGCTGTTATTATAGTTGTGTTTGCTGGGCTTCTATCCTTAATTAAGCAATTACAGGGTCTGCTGATACTTACGAATTCTTTTCAGATACTTTAATTGGATTGCAACTTAATGGTTATGTGTAAAGTGGGGTATTCTTTCTCTTGGGACTTCTCCATTTGAGTCTGTCTCCGCCGCCTACTTGCTTTCACTTGGGTCCAGTTCCTGGAAATGGGTAGCTTGACATGAGACTTGTCTGGGGCTGCCCTACTTCTTCGCTTCCAGAGATATCATTATGAATTATTTGAGTTCATGTCAGAAGGTCCTGAAGGGTCACTCGTAGGAAAGTATTAGCACAATAAACAGATTTGGGGGAGTCTCTTTTAATGAGGCCAAGATTTTCACAAGGCTGCTAAAAGAATGGTCATCTTTGACAGGATGTGGATGGTGCCTAAACGAATCAGATAATTTCTGCTGTCTTGGATATCTTTTAGTGTAGTAGTTGAAACAGCCACATGGAAAACTTCAACAGGGAGAAACAAAATGGAGTTATGAAAAGTGTAGGCAACATAGGATGAGCACGCAGAGGAGACAACAATTGAGGAATGGAAGAGACTTCCCAAAGGAGACGACACAGGAGCATCCAAGAAGATATGGACCGTTTTCTTTTGCAAGCTGAGTGTGATTCGTCTAGGCAGAACAACTTTGCCTGTGTCCTCAGTTCTCAGGAAGAGTTGCCTAAAAGAAATGGATCTACTCATCTATCGTTTTTCCCTCTGCTTTTGTCTGGGCACGTAAACTCCTGTCTCAGCTCTCCTGCCTGCGGCCTCTCAGTGCTCTGCCCTCCGCTCCCCATCCCTGCAGGCAGACCATCACCCACTGGTCATGAGGATGAAAGTGCAAGCCTACACTTACAGCCTGATTATCTTCCATCTTTAGATCATGAATCATCCCCAGAATGAGCCTCATCGTACTTGTGGGTCGTTCAATCGCATGGCCATTTCATAATTTTTTTTATATCCACTGGGCACTTTGCTAGGAATATTAAAATGCATAAGACGTAGTTCCAGCCTTCAAGCAAAGTAGTTGTATCTACCAAAGTACAGAATGTATAGACATGAAGAAAAATAGTATCTGAAAAAGGGTAACGGGTAGGAGAAACAGCTCAGATTTTAGAAAAATTATTGTTCTAACCCAAAAGTACAGGATCCAGAGAGTGGTGGAGCCAAGTGCTGGCTCATCCCTGCTCAGTGCAGGCCTGGAGTATGATAGTCCATCCAAGGACCACTCTTTTAGGAAGGACATCAGCCGACTGTAGAAGAATCAGAAGTGAGTGACTAGGATGATCAGAGACCTAAGAAGGCCCAGTACCTGAGGACGAGTAGAAGGCATCAAAGGAGACTTCCAGGACCCAGTGGAGTGTCTCAGGGTAAAAGAGGCAGGGATTCCATTTTTTTGAATAGTCATTTCAATTTGGGGGGGGGGTTGAAACAGAGAAATAAAGAGATCAGTAAAAATAAGTTCGTTTGCCGTGGTTTAATGGCAGCCACAGACCTTGGAGCTAGACCCCTTAAAGACGAATTCTGGCTCTCCTGCTTCCTAGTGAATCATTTCCATCAGACTGGCCTGTTGATCTTGATGTGATGCTGGGACGTAGAAGTGAGGGAAACAGCAAGACCCACATGGCAGTTCTGAGCCAGTCTGTCCGCAGCTGAGGCAGAGAGAGCCCTCGCGGTGGCACCACTTCCCGTGGAGTTGGTCTGAGGGTGGTGCAGCCTCCTAATCGGGATGTTGAGCCCTCACCATCTCAGTTGGATTTCCTGTGCCGAGAAAAGAGAGATGTGGATTTCTGTTTCTCGTTAGGCCCATTGGTTGTCTCTGGATGGATAGGTCAAAGGTAAGTGAAAAGAATCCTCACCTCCTAAATCGTGACTTCGGCATCTTACTATTGCCTTTTACTCTTCCTGCTTCGGTGTTCTTCGGTGTTTCAGAGTTGATGAGACCAGGGGACAGTATCTTGTGTAGGTATCAGGCCTGTCCTCTGCAGAGCTGACAAGAGCCAGTAGAAGGGTACAAAAGGGTCAGACCTGTGAGCGTTTTCCCATGGGTTCCTTTTCCTTTCCTTCTCCCCCGCTCCTGCTTTAAGGTTCTTTCTGAGTATTAAACATTCCTTAGTCTGCCTTCTACCTGGTGGGCATGAGGGGAAAGAATGGGAAGCTTACAGAATTCTGATGGCTGCTCTCTGCTGGAATGTTTCCAGTACAGCACCTGTCTCTGGATGTGCCCAGATGTCTCCGCTCTAATCCCATTCTTGTTGTGTCCCCAGAAAAACACATTTCAGTGTGGATTTTTTCAGTGCCATCTTGTCAACCTGTTAGCATTTCCTACCAGCCATTTAGTAGCGATGGTGAAAAGCAGCAGCATCCAGGATTGGGCTGCTCAGTGCTTCCCCTGCCCTGCGGGCATGTCTGTTTGGCCGGCCTCAGAGCAGAAAATGTCAGGACCTGCATGCAGGAGAGGGAGTGTAAATGGTGTGGTAATTTGAAATTAGAGGGAAGTGCTTTGAAATCTGGTAATGGGCAGCCCTGGGGTGAGCAGTGCATACTGTGCCTATAACAACTTAATCTTGGTTGCTATGGGTACCACCTTTCACATCCCCCTTTCAAACAGAGATATAACTGGATTAAAAAAAAAAAGTCTTCATCACTGATAAGTATCTGCCCCCAAGCCTCAGGTCTTTGCTCACCTTGGGTTCCTTTCAGAAAGTTTTCCCAAGGGTTCCCCAAACTAATGGGATGGATTTGGCAGCGCCTGATCCTGGCCCTCTGTGTAAAACTGGAGTGAACGGCACTACAGGGGAGTTAAAACACATGTGGTGTCCGGTGTGGGCAGGCAGCCCAAGCACACTCTCCTGCTGCCCCTGAGGGGGCGCCACGGGTTTTCATTCAAGTAGCTAGATACCACTGGCCACGTCACACGCTTCCTCACAACCCGTGCACAAGGGCACCGACAAAGCCCACGGAGCTGCACTCAGTCTCAGTGCCATGGGATCGGTCCCAGATCCCGATGTAGGGCTGCCAGGCACAGACCTTGTAGGAGCAAGAACAGTCCGCAGAAGTTCCTTTCATATTTGGAAGGCATCTGAGACACAACTGCATTCTCTCAGTCTTGTTTTTTGTCATTAGAGCTTTTTCCCACTTACTTAGATTACCCACTTAATCCAGGCCTTGTAAGTTGTGGAGTTTTTTTTTTTTTTTAAACCACTCTTTGCCCATGAGGTCTCATAAATGAGATCTGCATCTCTCTTCAGTGGCTTTCGATTTCCAGGGATACCGCTCTCTGCAAAGTTGCCTTACAGGCTTCTAAATGGACTTTGGAGAAACTTTCTCCAAAAGTTTCAGTTTAAGCTTTTTGGATTCCCTGTAGTTTTTTTCTTGTTATACTCATGCTTTATAGTAGCAGTCCTGAATAAACCCAGTAACCCCCATGCTTACCTTCACTATATGTAGGAAGATATTTAAATGGACTACTCTGTGGCGGGTGGAGAAGTTCCCATTTCCCTGCCCTGGTGTGCCTCCTTTTCCTGAGCTTGTGCATCTGCTAGTGATTTTTCTAGGGTTAATTTGGGTGTTTTTATTTTTAAATTGGAACATGGTGTCTGTCTCTTCTCTGTGTGTGTTTTGGATGCAGCCCCTGTGCTAGGCATGCGGTTATTAACTCCGCTGATATACCAGTTCGCTCATTAGCATTTGCATTTTAAATTACAAGCTAGAGCAGACGACATTTATGCTATATTTGTACCACTGCCTTCTTCATGAATGATGTCGTATGTGCAGGGAATGCAGAAATAACTCTTCTAGGGCCCTGATGTATTTTAGTCCCTTTTTCCACAAACTGCTATTTCTTTTTTACTCTTGATTCTCATTGTTTGATTGGGAATTTTTAAATTCCTTTCCGAGTTTAGACCTATCTGTGAGTGCTGCTGATTAGGATGTGCTGATGACAGACCAACCCTTCGTATCAAAATAGGCACAGTGCGGGGAGTGGTCTCTTTCCCTTTCACGTGATGCTCCGGGGAGGCAGCCTGCTCTGATGAGAGAGGAGGGAATTTCTCCTCCACAGTCGGGTGGGCGGGGAGACACGGTAACAGATACTTGTTCTTGCTTGTATTCATGCTCGCATCCCTCTTTTCCCTAGTTGGTTACTCAGAGGTTATTTGTTAGCACCTGCTAGTGCTTGGCGCTGCACGGGGGGAAAGGGGAACTCGTATATGCCTTCAAGGAGCTTATTTTTGACAAGAAACCCTTAGCTTGCAGTGCAGTACAGCACATACTTAAATAAATGCCAGTAGTTAAGTCCTCTCCGGGGAACTATTCCTCTGGCAGATGGAAACTTCAGCACCTGGATACGAAGAACCATGGCAGAAGTGCCTAGTCAAGGATGGTGGGCCAGGGAGGGGAGCCTTCCTGGGCGTGCGCATGCCCCGCTCTGCCTCAGCTGGGGCTTGGCTGGTTGCCGGCAGCGCGTCGGGGGCAGGAAGCAGAGCTCTGGTAGGTAGCTGTGCCTTCACGCCATTGTGCTCTTTCTTTGTGATATCAGATCTTGTTTCTCTGACGTCTTGTCACAGGGACCCTTCCTCTTGGTGAATTCTGACGTTTAAAACACATCACGAAAAACCCAGGGCAGTCACACTGGAAATAGTAGATGTGCATTCTGGGTAAGAAGGACAGGGGTAAGTAACAGGTTTTTTTTTATCAATTTTGTCTTGCCAATCAACTCGTCCAAAGAACTTAAGTTTGAAGGGTTGATGGGCACAACACAATTGATAAAGAATTGTTACTCACCTTTGTATTTCTTTTCTTCCATGAGGATGATCTCTGTTTGGTGCGCTCTGTGTTTATCAGTGGCTTCCGTGAGCTCCAGACTCCAAACTCGGGCCTTTGAGCCTCAATGTTGGTTTTTTGTTGTTTTTTTTTTTTTTCCTAGTCTCTAGCTTCTTTTGATCTCTGCCTGTTGGCTGGCAAAACTGTTGTCCAGAACTAAGCTGTGCCTAACAAGGCAAGGATAGATCACACAGAGATGGGCGGGTCCCTGGAGACTGGCGAGTGGTAAGCAGAGCAGGAGTTGGCTGGCCCCACGATGAAGGTGCGGTCAGACAATGAAGGTGCAGTCAGACACAGGTGCCTTTGGGTTGCGTGGTGGCAGGCGTCTAGATGGCACTCAGAGTGTCATCTATAAATGCGCCATCAGGATGCCGATGGGAACAGTTGAGACAGCTCACAACAAGCCAAGGAATCCCACAGACTCTTTCATTTCTTCATTCCTTCTGTTATTCATATGAAGGGCTGACTGCTGCCGGGACTCCCCAACCTGCTGGGACTCTGGAGGGAAGGGCTGACTGCATCACCCCAGTGCCGCCCGGCTGGCCCTCTTGCCATTCCCTGCAGCTTCCCACCCTGTGCCATTGGCTTCTGACAGAAACCTTGAATTAAGTGGGTTAGGAATAAACTGCCCGAATGCGTTTGTGCAGATAGCTTCTCTCACCAGCTATCTGAAGTGCTTTCTGAAATACACGGGAGCCCTTTGTAAGCTGCTTTATAAGCTGTGAGTCCATTGTTGCCGCGCTCCGCAGCCAGCGTGTCTGTAACCCGAGGACCGTCGGCTTGGCTCCGGGCCAGGGCTGGGTGTTGGAACCCCGCGCAAGCCGCAGGGCCGCCCACCAGAGTCACTAGCAGCTGTTGCAGGTTGGAGGATTTGCAGAAATTGAGATGGCTGTTCCCAGATATTGGCACTTGCCTGGTGATGAATGACCGCGTCTGTGCGCGGGGCCCTCTGTGCTTTCCTTCGGCCTTTTCTTCTCAGCCCCTGATTGTGGCGCCTGCTCAATGGCCCCGTTGTGGAGGAGGGCGGCTGAGCGGAGGGGTGAGTGGCCTGCCGCCTCCACCATTCCCTCCCTCCATCGGCCTGAACTGAGACATTAATAAAAGCTCTTTGATCCCCTGAACTGGTTCTTGGGGCAGGAATTTCATGGCACAAAGCACAGATGCCAAGGGGCTGAGAAGCCAACCCCCAGAGGCTAGAGACATGAACTTCACCTGAACGAGGGCCACGTGACCCCCTTCTGGCATTACTCTGGTATCCTTTTGCCTGAACCCACATGTCCACCCCAGAGTAGCCAGGGAGGGAAGACCGAAGACCAGAAAAAGTCTGTTTTGATAAAGCCATTAATGGGTGGTATGTTCCTTTCTGATATGATTGCCCAAGAGTGAACTGTTTAGGGGTTTATGCCACTTTGTATAATTTCTTCTTATCACATACAGTCATGCATATTCATGTATGCATATGCTGAAACCCGTGTTCCAGTGCCATCTCCCTCGAGATGAAACTGCAGGGAAACCGGCATGAATGACCTCTTTTAAGAGACTTGTACCCTCCCGACTCCAACCTCCGCCAACTCTCTTGTGTCACCTGTTTTCTGTACTTGCCACAATCTGAAATCTTGTAGCTTATGTTTAAAATTGACTGTCTGCATCACCAGAACATAAGATGCTTGAAGGCAGGGACTTTGTCTTGTGACTGCAGAACCCTGGTCCCAGTGTCGGGAATAGGCCTGACCCAGAGGCAGCCTTCCTGAGAAGGTTCTTGGATGAATGAATGCACTCTGGTTCTGGGCTAACACCTTATTTTGAAATTCTAAAAACAAAATAACAATACTGTTACCATGGAGAGTGAGTGTTAGAGCCTCCACAGCCCTGAAATGGAAAACAGAGCACCAGACTGGGTGTCTTGTCTGGAGAACTGGATTAAAGCTTAGAACTACGCCCCCCCCTCCACTCCCCCCAAGTCAGATAGCCTCTCTGGGCCTTGGAGTTTTTTCATAAAGTGAAGGGATCAGATAAGTTTTCTCTAGGGTTCATGCCAGGTTTGAATCTCTAATAATAATAGCTTTTACTTAATGAATATTACGTGCTGTGAATTGCCTCATTTAATCCTTACCACAGCTGTTACGTGGATATCATTACAATCCCCATTTCATAGATGAGAAAGCTGAGGCTTAGGAAAGTTAATTTTCTTGCTGAATACAGGGCAGAGCACATTTTCTTGATCTTACCATACGTGCTGTCATTTAGAATGCAGCGCCAACTTGACATTGAATATAATATTACTGTGATATCTTGTGACATTGAATGCACTGTTACCAAGGTCTTACCTCTTCTGTTTCTCCAGGCTTCCCTCCATCCATTGCATCTGCCTATGCTCTTTTGTTGGCTGGGAATCAACCAGATACTGCCTTTCTTTTGGGATGGCCAGAAGCAAAGCTTTACAGGGGGCAGTGGTAGTGGCTCTCTTGAGGAAATGAAGCGATGTGGGTGTGAGATTCTAGTGGTTGTTTTGGAGTTTGGATTTGTTTCTGGGCTCCACAGGTGACACCAGTAGGAACACATCTAGGATGAGAGTTTGACGAGAACGTGTGATTGGGGAGGTAGACCTGTGGGACAGGTTTATGAGCAGGGGCATTTATGGACAAATTAAACTTTAGCCCTGAGTAAGCAAAGTCCTAAGCCAGTTATTACTGCTCTGGCACTTCTAATGGGCCCTATGCAACCCTTATAAATTATTTAGCTGCTCTGCTAATAAAAGGCCAAGCAACATGCCTAGTCCTGGTGATACTTTAAGTAGAGCTCAGAGAGAACAGGTCAGAGGGACGCAATATTTGCTGATCTCCCAGGAACTCTCCTGTCTCATTTGGAGATGAAAGGGTTAAATGGACTATCTTGAATAGCAGCGTTTTGACAGATGATGCATAAAACTGATGTTGAAATGCTAATATTAGAGATTGGCGAAAGGGTTTCCTCTGAGGAGACGCCTGCTAAGGTTCCCTGGACTGTTGCATCTAATGCCCATTTCTCAGAGTGTTGTGGTAATCATGAATCAGTGTCCCAGGATATCTAGCACTTAAGCATTTATTGAATTGTTACCATATTGCCCCATTTCCTGTCAGTGTATTTTTAGAATCAAGGCATTTGCCAAATTGCCTCTCACATCTGTAAACAGTATAAAATAATTGTTTCCCATCTCATACAGAATATACTTAAAAATACCCGTTCCCTGACAGCACCCGTGGCGCTGGCGGGCTTTGGAAGGTGGGCTGTGGCCTCTGAGCCTCCTCGCTTTTCAGGGGAACCTTCTGCTTTTAAGTGCACTGTTCAGAGTCCAGGTCAAGTGCCAGGCCCCAGTGGGTCTTTTTGGTTTATAAGATGGGATTATAGTAACTTTGGGGGCTCTGGCAGCCCTAGATGTTTGGGAACCTGGAAGCAGCGCTTCCTTGAGAGTCTCCAGCCCTGCCTGGCAGCCCTGGGAACGCGCCCATCCCAGCATTTCAGCACGTTTGCCATCTGAGCTTTCATGCTACCCGGAGAAATGATAGAGGCTTTCTAATGTTGCTTCCTTTCCGATTTCAGTGAATCATGGAACCGATTAAAGCAAAGTGACTCATTCATATACACGTCCAAGCATGTTTGGGTTCTGTTTTTTTTAAAGGTGCTCTGAGAATCTCAGTGGTTTCTGGAGGAGCTCTCCATTTATCTGAACTCTAACCTGCTGGAAGCTGCAGGGCACCGGTGAGGAAGACTCTCGAGGCTGGTGCTTCCCAACAAGCTGTCTAACAAGCACAACAGCTCCTATTCAAGGACTTGACTGCCTGTCTCCCGATTCATGCCACAGAATTTTGAGAGACCCTTGTTTCTTTCTACTTTGCTCATTCTCATTATCCTGTTTGCTTTTCTGCATCCACTCCCCATATCACGTCTTGGCGAGTTTTCATGGAAATGAAGACCATGTTGGTATTTGTGCTCACCCTCATTGACTGTCTCTTTCTGCTTCACTAGGCTCTGTGTTTTTATTCGCCGGTGAATGACCTTGATTTTATAACAGCAAGAATTGTCACAATCTTGTTCCCACCGTTATTAGCTTTTGTACTTAGACGAGCATTTTGTCCCCATTGCTTTCCATGATCCTATAGAGGACTTCAAGAGATTGTCACCTTTTTGTTCAGCAGGAAATATTCAGCTTAGAAGAGTTGGAATAGGAAGCCTAACTTTATAGGGGAGTACAATAAGTGAAAGGTATCTATAAAATTTTTAAAGGAACGTTGATCATAGAAAGTTCACTGGACAAGAAATGGGAAGACCTTGTTTCTCCTCCAGACCCCACTGCTGACTGCGTGGCCTGTAACAAGGCTCACACAGGTGCCTGTCCTCACTTCCCACTGGCTGTATGCTTATAGGCCCCACCCAACCATTGTTAACTCCAGGATGTGGTCCTAGCTTATGTGGCCTTGGGTTATGTTAAATGACAGCTGACTTTCTTCTTAGCCCTGAAATGCCATGATTTTACGGACTCTTCCCTTACTCAGTAAACTGGGTTGATTGGATTTTCCCCTTGATGTTAGTGTAATCTGTAGGAGGAGGAGATGACAGCTCAGAAGACAACTGGTGTCTTCCCTCGGTTCATCAGATAAACACTCTCTAATTGGATGGCAGAGCTCAGTTTTAAAGTACCCTGAGCTTAAAGGTAAGCTAGCCAAGGGCTAATGCTAATCGATCCAGTTCTCAGAAGAGCAATTAGGGCCCTAATGAGATGTGGACTGTGTGTTTCTGGGTGGCTCCAAAGAAGTGGAGAAGCTGGGTTGAACTGTCTTCCCAGCTTCTGGGGGCTTATGTGGGGTGCACCAGGTGTTTATGTAGGACCTGGGCCTCTCCATGACTCCGCTGTCTCAGGTTTCTGGTTCTCTCCGTGGTAGGATTACAGACTCCTTGTGCTAAGGATTGGCTTATCTCGGCCTTGTTTTTCTTCACGTGCCCACTTTTTAAAGCTACGGATTTAAACACAAACTGAGAAATACAGAAGTTTCAAAGTCTGGTAGAATGCTGATTCGCCCACTTCACACATGAGGTATATTAAGGGTTCACCTTTAGCAACAGCCCAATTAGCAGTTGCCGATGCTGCCTGTGTGCGACGCTGTGGATTGTTAGCGGTTGCTATGAGAACCTTCACTTTCCTGACTCATTTTACACTGAACAGTGCAAACAGGCAGAGATTGGAAGGGGAGGGATGATCAGACGGGGAGCCGGCCAGCAGATGAAACTCCGTTCTTGGTTGAATCCCTTTGAATGGTGAGTTCTCAGGACTCATTCTACATCTCCACCTCCTGCCCTCTTGGAGGTTTGTTTCCCCTAAATCTTTAAGAGGTAAAATAGTTTGACCTTTATTTGCATCAAGCTTCAAAGCAGTTCAAGTTCAATACTTAGCAGGAAGATTGCCTTTAATGAGCCAAGTTTAGAGGAGGTGGATCTTAATCTCTTCATGTTTGGAAGGAGATGAGCACACACAGTGAGAAAGGAAGTTTGCAGCTTTAGCTATTGCATTTGAAATGCAACCAGTCTCCCAGCAGCATTTAAAAACAACAGTAACAACAACAAAACTGTGGGTTTCTTTTGCTGTTGTTGATTTGTTTTTTTGAGCATAAAACCGTCTCGTCTATAGCATATGCCCGTTTGTAGAGTCTTGAATTTTAAAAAGCGAAACAAAAGCACCCCTGTACTCAGGTCACTCTGAAGTCCTCTTATCTTTATTTTGAACTTCATCTGAGAAGGAAATTCTTGTTCCAGACCAAGCTCCTTCCCCTTCCTCCGAGCTCCCTCCCTGCTCAAGATTCAGCCCCAGCCCAGGGTGAAGCAGTGAAGCGGTGGTGAAGTGGTGAAGCGTGGGTTAGATTCTCTAAAGAAAGAAGAGGTGCTTCCCTCAGCCTTTGTCAGCGCTAATCGCCAGCTGTGTTTAGCACTCTCTCATTTTGTTTTTTCTCTCCCTTGTTGTTTGGTGGGCCTGGGTTTATGCTGAATTTGAAGATAAAGGGCTCTTCAGTCCCTCCCCTTCCCTCTCAGCCCCCCTCCTCTCACTGCACCTGGAAGAAATTCTTGGTTTGCAATTTGGAGCAGAAACATTATAGGACCTGGAGTCACCAGGACCAGGGTGTGAACTGACCGGCACTGACTGCTTGTTGCTGTGGGTGGTGGTGTCTCCTGAGATCACAGGAGGGCTCCCTGGCTCTTCTGAAAGCTCCTCACTTCCGATGAGTTCTAGCATCGTGCTTCTCAGACTGGTTCATGGGCCTCGAGTAGAGTCAGAGATCTTGCGTTTCTAACAAGTTTCCAGGTGATGCCAGTGCTGCCCGTTCATAGCCCAGTCTCGACTGGAAATGATCTAGGCCACCTTCCTTTTTTTTTTTTTTTTCCTCCTAGACTTGGGAATTATGAAATCTCCATTGCACACAAAGCCTCAGTGGCTAGAGGACAGGTTTGGGGACTGGTCCCCATCTTGTCTGCATTCCCCCCCACTTGCTAGAAATGTGAAACTCGGAGTTTCCCCCATTTAAAAAAAAATGGGAATGAAATGGTGTTCCTCTGTGACCAGTAAATCATTCCCATGAAGTGCTGCTCATCCAGTAACAAGAAAACCCAAGTGGCCATTTTGAGCCCAGACCTGATACATGATTTGAGTTCCATTCACATAAATGCCACCATCCAGGGAGGCCTCAGCCTTGGGGGATTTTAGGGCAGCGCCTTCTTTCCCATTCATGGAACTGGGACTGTCCTCTCACTGTGACATTCCCTTTCTCCTGCTCACGTTAGCTCTTGCTTGTTGAGGGGTGTGGAGCATCCCTGGCTGGTCTGTCCATGTGGCTGCATCTTCTGGAGCTGGGCTGAATATTTGGGCTGGATATTTTCTACCTTGATGCCTATATTCAGCCCCCTGTGTGGTACAGTAGAGTGGGGCAATTAGCCTCAGGGAAGGGTCCGCACACAATGTGTTCCGTAGCAATGGAAGTTGCCAGTTAAATCTCAGATGTGTATTCTCTTCCAGACCCTTAACATAGACACTGTGTGTGGGAAGGAGTTTGGGAGTGAAGCTAATTTGTTGGGGTCAGAGTGTGATGGTTAAAAGTGGACAGTGGAAATGTGGGGCTGACTTGGTTGAAGAGTGAGCCCACGTTCACGGGACCTTTCACCGGCCCTGGTCCCTCCTTAGTGGTGAGTGTGGGTGAGTGTGCCTCAGGTTTTGTCTTTTATTACTGAAAAAACAAAGGCATGGAGTTCTTTGATTCTTACTTGGCCTTCTTTCAGCCCGTGTGTTGGAAAATCCACATTTGCCACATCGAAGCAGCCGGCTTCTATTCATCCATCTCTTCTCTTTTCCCCAGAGAACTTTGCTGACTCTGGAGTAGAGTAAGCCCTTCCCCTTTATTATGTGTTCCCAGAGTTGCCGAGAGTTCCCTGCCTTATGCTCCCCTGAAGTCCTTAATGAATATAGACCTTCTCCCCTATTGTACCCCACCCAGTGCCTAACAGTCCCTGGCACGTGGTAGGCACTCAAAAAACATCTGTGGACCAGGTGGAAATTCTGTTTACTTTGGGAGCCGTGCATTCTTTGGTGGAAAATAGCGCTAACAGTCTAACATACAAGTTCACCGTATGGCACCCTTTAATCTTCGTTTCTCTTTGCACTCACCTCTAAGATACACGTGGATTTTTGTTCTGTGGTTGTATTCATGGCACAACACGCCTCTGTAAGATTCTCTTGAGACTCTTCTACCTCCAGGAACCAAGACTGTGTATAAATAGAGATCATCACTGGTTTCCAAGGGGCAGGCAACAGCCACAGAAGGTGCAAATTGATGGAACAAGCTCGGGGAACCGGAGAAAGCCAACTTGACTGAGAAACTATTAGCTCTAGGCTGAAAATTAAGAACTCGCAGTTTTCCTGTATCTTTTCAGACCCATGGCCTTCACAGCCTCTGGAGATTCCGAAGCAGATCCATCAGCCACCGAGGAAAGCAGCCCTGTTAGATTTTATGGCTGTTTGCCTTCGCTTTGCATGCTAGTAACTCATCTTTGACATGACAGGCTACAACAATCCAGATTTTTTTCTGAGGTTGATTATCAAAATTGAGAGTGTTAGATACCCAATATTTTGAGGCCCATAATTAACTAGAACATTTTTATTTATGTAGATGCTTGTAAAACATCTTTATCCCTGTATCTTGACCTTTTTTCCTCATATGGGTAATGATTTCACAGATAAGAAAATCCTGCAGTTGAAAAAGAAGGCATCTGTGATGAGGTATTTGACCCACTCTGGCATTTCCTCACCCACCGGCCTCTGAGGTCTGCTCATGGGAGCAGAGGGCCATGTGCTGAGAATGTTCCCTCCCATTGAACTTTTCCTCCTTCGTCTTGACTTCCCACACACAGTTCTCATCCATGATTCCTATTCCAGTGTTTTACAGTTTTGATTCCATTTCCTCTTTACTTATCCGAGATACTTCTGTGTTTCCTAATTTTTTTTTCTCTCTCCCTCTTCCCGCTAATAGGAAAGGAAGGCGGGCTGGGAGTTTCTTTCTGGGGGGCTGACGAACCAGCGTCTGTGCTCATTGCATTCACGGGGATTACTCACTTAACCTCTCTTAACTCTGTCTGCCTGTGATTTAATTTTGCTGTCATAATGTTCGTTTGGGGGACAGTAAAAGAAACACCAAGGAGAAGTCCTAAATGCTTCAAACGAAATGAAATATTTTCCTCATCCTGTCGGTGAATTCTTTTTACTTAGCTTTGAAGCTATTGGAAAACAAATCTGGTTAATTTTCATTTATTCAGAGGCTGCTTATTCTGTTGGGCAATTATCACTTCCGTCTCTGCTCTCTCTTGCTGCTGCTCTCATCTTAGCCTTTTCACCATTCCTCCTCCACCGAAGAGATGGAGAGGGGAGAGGAAGGAACGTTTAAATAGTAAGTGTTGATACCCCCTTTTTAATTAGATTATTGTGAGGCAGTTACGGAAAAACTTGACAGCAGTGACGTTTGGGAAATGGGATTGACTTTTAGAAATACACTGTCTTATAAGTACC